CCTTTCTCCCCCATATTATCGTGGAACTCAGAGGAAAGAGTAAAGACATGAACACAAGAAAATTCAAGTAGTTCAATATTAAAGGTGTCCTGACAGTCTTAAATGTTCCTTCTTTTTTTCTTCTTTCTTTTCTTTTTGTGGTTTACTGTATTATCAAAAGATGGGTAAAAGTATCTTTTATCTCATAAATTTCTATGAGACAGATATTTAGCCCATCAAAAAAGGGAATATAATTGGATGCATAAGGCTGAAGGTTAGGCAGAGTTAGCTTGGTCAATGATGCATTTTTATATATGGCATGCATGATTTCCCCAAAAGGAGATAACTTCATTAAACAAAAAATATCACAATTAACTCTATCTGAGTCCACAATACTGAACAATTCTTAAAAAACCTCAACTCCCAGGTAAGGTTAGCATTGAGCAATCTAGCTCATATGGCTAGCCAGTTAGCTACACAGTTAGATTCTCTACAGATATGGCCAACATTGTACACGAGATTTCTAGAATGAAAAAATATATCATTGGTAGTGAACAGAATCCAGTATCTTGAAGACATATATTATTAGATACTTTAACAATGTTTGAAGCAAAGATTACAAACCAAATACATGTTCAATGCATTTATCAATATCCAAGCTTCCTGTCCTGTATTCATCAAAATTTCTTGTTTGACCGGGACAAAATGTTAAAAGTAGTCCATAGTTAACTTATATGACAAGTGCATTGGATTCAGTATCAACATTAATGAGTATTCTCATGGCTGTATTGCTTACCAACCAACTTATGATAACAGATATTGCACCGATGCCTCTGAAGCGGTCCCTGATAAATTCAAACTGATGCACACGGGTTACCTGTTTTGGAGCTGTGCCTAATGGTTTATTAATGTTAGCACAGTGTCAAGCTAACTAAATGAATTAAGTAAAATTTTCTTTTAGATAAATATTCCAGATCACTGACTATAATGAGAAAGTAAGCCATTTAAAAGCTATAATTTAATTCCATACCATCTCCTGTAATTTGTTTCTGAATTGAGTCTTCCCAGTGTTTCCACTGATGTATCTGAAAAACAAACAGGTACAGTACAGATTGGTACTAAGAATATCCATAGAACGACTGACAAGCAGATTGATATTGGCATGTACCTTTGCTCCTCCTAAAACGATAGTTAGGACACTGAAAGCAACGTGAGTGATTGCAAGGACAAAAATAAAGATATGCAATTGATGTATAGCCTCGAGAGACAACAGTGGGACTTTTCCCTGCACAAAAAGAAAAAAAAAAACATATCAGTAGGAATTAAAAAAACAAGTAGCTAGTGTGACATAGTTTATAAGTAAAGAGTCGATTTGACGGTGGAATAGGTTATTGTTATGCAAAATGTCACATGGTTTACCATCCTGAAAAGTCATGTTAAGGTAGGATAGGTCATCTACTACTTGAGCATCTGAAAGAAACAACAACATTTAAGCAGATGTTCCCAACTATTTGGCGCTGAAGGCAAAAAATCACCAAATAATTGGTCCAAGAGAGACTTGGTCTTCCACTAACTGTCACAATACTTATAATCTGAAATGCTCTGGTGCATATACATCTCTCTTCTGGATATGTACAAAGAACTACAAAATAAGCAAGCACCCATTTTGTCGTAAATCAATAAAATCCAGATTTTAGATGCATGTAATCACAAGTTATACTGGATTCATACCAACAGCAAACTTTATATGTTCAATGACATCTCAGCTATACTACTTTATTAACATACATACATAATGCGACTTAACAATTGTACAGTATTTAGCTGAATATCAACATACTATTAGCAATGTATTTTTCAATATCTGCTTCCTCCTGATGATATATATATCCAAGATGCCAAAATACATTTTCTTTCCTTGCCAAAATTTTATCAATATCTGTCTCAACTATATTTCCATTTCTTCATTTTATTTTCCTAAAATTGAATATTATAAAGAAAAATGCCATTGATCATGCAAAAAGTTCAAATTTTATCAATTGACACTAACCAACAATTTTGCACCAGACCGCATTAGGAGTCTCTGGAATTAACTTGTCGAGATACAAAATGCATCAACGACATCAATCAATCTATTGCCAAATAGTAAGACCTGAATTCAAAGGCTTATGTGGTTATGTTACAGGCAGCCACAGAAAGATCTCAAAGAACAACAATCCATTAGGTTTCCTAAAAACTCCACAAACTAACAAACTTTGCAGAAGCAAACGTGGAATTGCCTCGAACAAACCTTGATCAAGCAATGTGCTGCGCCAGATCCACTCTCAGAGAGAAGTCGACGACCTCCAAAAAGGCCAGCAGAAAAAGCGGCCTGGAAATGTGCTTCGGCGGCAGCACCATGTGCGTCATCGGGCTCCTCCTTCTTGCAGGGGAGCATGTGAAGGGTCCATCCTTTAGGAATGCAGATCCTCTGGATCGCCCCTTGAAACACCGTGAGCAGCAGCGAAATGAACCCCAGAAGCATCAACTCTGCGCACAAAACCGCCAAGATTCTTACTTGATGATCGAATACGATGAACCGAACAAATCTAGAGAGACAAGAAGGGAATAGAGGCGAAGGGCACCTTCTTTCACCTTCTGGAGGGCTTCGAAGAGCGGCTTCTGGTTCTTCCGCTTGAGAACCTGAAACGATCCGCAAAACCTAGCAATGCAGGGCGTTTCCGAAGGGGAAAGAATGCGACGAAGGAAGGAAAAGGAGGGACCTTTCCGAGGCGGTGGAGGAGGCGCTCGACGACGAGGGAGATGAAGACAATGAGGGAGCAGACCGCGGCAACGATCCATGTGGGAGTGAACTCCAGCTTCATCTCGCTCGCATCCGCCGACGCGTCACCGCCTCCCTCCGCCATTCCCATCCTTGCAGAGATTTCTCTCACGCTTGAGACCAAATGCAGAAGGGAAGATCAAACGCAACTTTCAGATATATCGAGTGAAGAGTGGGTATGGGAAGGCAAACACGCTCCACTGTAAGACGCGTTTGTGCGTGTGAAAAGAAGGTATAAGGTAGGCAAACTCTCCACACGGTAAGACGTGCGCGTGTGTGAGAGAGAGGGAGAGAAGAGAGAGAGAGAGAGAGAGAGAGACGTTGGATCCCATGTTGTAAAATGACATCTTTTTTTTTTTTTTTTTTTTTTTTTTTATGAATTTTATAAATATATTATTGTACATTTTTATAATAAAAAATATTTATCATATATATTTTTAAATATTAAGATCCTTGGGTATTTATTTAAAATTTTAAATTATAATCAATTAACAAAGAAATTTATGGACATGTATCAAATTTATATATAAAGAAATTTAAATTTTTATCCTTAGGGTTATACTTAGAAGTTCAAATGATATAGGAGAAAATAAAAAATAAAAAAGGAAAAACCATACACTATTCAAATTTTAAAAAATAAGAAAATATCAAAAAATTATATAAATTAAAAAATTAATTATAGAGATCCACATGTTTGTAATTAAAAGTTTTCTAAAAAATTCATAATATTTGAGCTATTCTTTCATGTTGATTTTTTGATTTTAGAATCTAATCATAATCAAAGAAGTCAACTTTTTTTAACCAAAATTTTATCATAGCTTAGAGGCATAGAAGTTTAAATGTTAAAGAAAAAATATTTCATGAAATCATCATAGGAATAAAAATATTATAAAATTAAAAATATAAATTATTCAGATTTTGAATAATCAAAAAATGTTGTAGAACTAGAAAATATTTTACTGCACTAAGGTTTGCATAATTATCACTGAGGCAGGTGCATGTTTGGAGAAGGGAAGAATTGTCTGGATTAGAAAGGCACCTTCAGATTTGGATGGAACACCTTCGCACTATGAAGGTTTTCTTCATTAAATCCAAACAGCAGATGAAATATAATTACAAATATCTGCTATGCTGAACTTTTCGGGAATCTTAACCTTCTATTCCAGATGCAGATCATGTTCCAGGAGATTCAGTACCTGAAGAAACGGTACTTCTTTTCGAGTTGTGTTTGATCTCTCAAAGACGCATTTTTTGGGGTATAATCTGTTTGGGATTCAAGTTTTCTTGCATTTCTCTACATTTAATGCTATGAGTAGTCTTCTTGAACATGCATCATCACATATCCCTTCGTTACTCGAGAAACTCTTGGGTTTTGCACCGAGACTTGTCGATCCATCATTATGCAGGAGGGCATATTGAAGGCCACCAATAAGTTTCTTCGAGGGAAGGTATAATAGAGACTAAGATAATTCTCAGAATCAAAAGATCGATATGAGTTTTTTTTTCTTCTCTCTCCTTGTTATCTGATGATGCAGATTGTGGAGCAAAATGGGTTTCTTGATGCAGCAACAGTGACAGCACAGAAAAATGGGCATTTTGATGTAGCCTCACTAACAGCTGCTGACATTCCAAATCCATTTAACCATGCAAAACCAGTTCAACAACTGCTTCCCTTTCTGATGATAACAAGGTTCGAGGGATTTGTGAACAGTGTATGTGTGTGCGCGCTACTGTATAGCGGTGATCCCTCAACCAGTCTATTGAGTACATTTATTTGATGTTGATGTTAATGATTTGTTGTATTCCAAGAACTGTGTCATGATCTTAATCAACTCTCTGAAGGCTTCATGTCTTGGTTTGATTATGTTACCCTACATTGTGATCAGTAACTTATATTGCCTATTTCTTGATTGAGGTGAGCTACTAATAGGATTCTATTCATCCAACCAAAGCTCACTCTTCGGAAGCTTCATGTCTTAATTACCTTACAATGTGATTGGTAACTTACATTGGCTATTTCTTGATTGAGGGTGAGCTGATCATGATAGTTATGATCTATGATCAATTTGGGATGTCAAGTTTTTTACTCATGTCATCATGTCCATTCTAAGTTGCTTGTTAAATTATGTACAACTATGAGTTTAGGAATCTAACAATATGAAACACCATAAGAGGTTTTAACATCTTCTCTAGATTTCAGGTTAGCCCACAGTATGTTTATTTGGCTCAAATCTTTCCTTAATTAGCTTATCGAACAGGAATAATTAACCCTTGTTACTGTGATATGTATGCATGACAATCTCTCTAATGGTACTCTTTAATTTGTTGCTTTCCTCCAACCCTTCCCTGATACCTCCATCTGCAAGGCAGAGAGAAAGACAATAGCAGGGAACTGGAAATAAGTGACACAGCAAGGTAGAATCATTATGGCACCACCATTAACAGTTGGATGATGTGTTCTTCTCTCCAGGATACCTATTCAACATAGGATACAGTTTTAGCAAGCTTTTGAACACCATCTAAAGCAGGAGGAATGCATTCAAACCCTTCACTCTCTTTCATGAAAGTGGTTTGAGTCAGATCTTTTTCACCAGGGTTTCGCTGCACTCCTTTCCAGAAGACCATTTACTCCTTGTAAGGTCACAGTTGCAGATCATTAACTATCATCTCATCTGCCCCCTACCCCTCTTTGACCCTATATAAACCCATGCACTCCCTCTCCCTCTCGCTCAACTCACTCCTCCTTCCTCCTCATGGCCACCTTTAGCTACCCTGTGTTTCTCCTCTCTGCATTTTTGGTTGTGTCATCACTCTTCATGGTTTCTACAGCACGAGGAGGAGCAGAAGTTGGAGACAGCGGTGGTCAGAAGGAGTCGGTGCCTGCTATGTTTGTGTTCGGAGACTCCCTCACTGACAACGGAAACAACAATGGCTTAGCTTCCTTTGCCAAGGCTAACTATTACCCTTATGGCATTGACTTTGCCGGAGGCCCAACAGGAAGGTTCTCCAATGGCTACACCATTGTGGATGAGATAGGTGAGCATAACACATCCTTACGAGCCATGGTCAGTGACATGCATGTTTGCCACACCATGGAAGGCACACTGGCGAGCACTTGTAGATGTTCTTAAATCTGTTCATAGTTTAATCTGCTTGATATTATAAATGGCTTAAACAAGCTAATTTTCTGCATTTGTCAAAATATGCTAGCGAGCAGAAAAAGAGAAGTTTGAAGCTACTTTCAATGCTTCATTACCTTTCACCTTCGCATTAATTGCATCCTCTCATGTTTATAAATGCTTTAGCCTTGCAGGAAGATTACAATTGTAAGTATATTTAAGATCTGTCACATCTACCAGCTGAAGCTTTTAGTTGAGTTGTAACTGTATGGATTTTTATCTCTTTTAACTGCAGCTGAGCTTCTTGGACTACCGCTCATTCCACCTTACTCCCAAGCATCTGGCGAGGCAGCTCTTCATGGTGTCAACTATGCTTCAGCTGCAGCAGGGATTTTGGACATCACTGGCCGGAATTTTGTGAGCCAAACACTCTTACATACTTCTCTGCAACATTTATATACATCGACAGCATCATGCACGTTACAGGCTCCTATGACTGACATTATTCTCCTTGTGCAGGTGGGGAGAATACCATTCAACCAACAGATCAAGAATTTTGAGTCAACCCTTGATCAGATCGCTGGCAATTTGGGTGCAGATGCCGTTGCCAATGCCACTGCTCACTGCATCTTCTTCGTGGGGATGGGGAGCAATGACTACTTGAACAACTATCTCATGCCTAACTACAACACGAGGAGTCAGTACACCGGAGAACAGTTTGCTGATCTTTTGGTCCAAGATTACACTCACCAGCTCACGGTAGGAAAACGAGCTCGTGGATCATTTCGCAAGAGATCTCTTTCTGCATTGATATATTCGATTCTGTCTTGTAGAGTCTATACAACCTTGGAGCCAGAAAGTTTGTGATCACTGGAGTTGGATCGATGGGATGTATTCCGAGCATACTTGCACAGAATCTTTTGAGCCATTGCTCACTGGAAGTTGACAAGCTTGTGATGCCATTCAACAACAATGTCAAGGCCATGATCAACGCCCTCAATGTGAATCTTCCTCATTCCAAGTTCATATACGTGGATACCTACCACATGTTCATGGACATCCTCAGCAACCCCGGAACATATGGTGAGTGAGTGAGTGCTTCTCATCTCGATTGCTGTCGGAATCTGAAATGCTTGCGATTGTAGTTGAAGTCATGTGTTTCCTTTTGTTAGGATTTAGTGTGATCAATCGCGGTTGCTGCGGAATCGGGCGAAACAGCGGGCAGATTACATGCCTCCCCTTCCAGACTCCATGTGCAAACAGGGATCAGTATGTGTTTTGGGATGCTTTCCACCCTACAGCGGCTGTGAACATCATATTGGCAAGGAAGGCCTACGATGGCAACACAAATGCTGTGTTTCCCATGAACATTCAGCAACTTGCCAACCTAAACTTGGAACCAAATTAGCAGCACTTTGAAGGATGTATGCAGTCTTAGAGAGGGATAGAGAGAAGAGTCAAATGGATGCAATCACTTCATGTGACTACTTTGGTACTCTCAATGCATAACTAAGCAAGAAGAAGGAAATAGTAACTTCTAGTTGTAGCCCACAGATTGGTTCATCACTGTTGGGATGTCTTCATCATCTTATATATCTGTAGTTTCAACAAATCTCCAAGCAAATTCAATCAAAGAGTCCCAAGGCAGAGCATACTTCGATTGAATTGGCTGAGGAACTAGGTTTTTTTGAAGCAATGTCAGAACTTGGGTAGCTTAATAGCTGAATAATACCAAGAAATGTATTGCTTAATTAAAAGAAACGTGCACTGCAAAACAAGTCTGTGATCTTCCAACATTCTCACATGTCCAGTTTCCTCAGAGCTATCCAATTTCCTGAGCTTATATAGTCCAAGAGAGTCCGGTATTTGAAATCAATGCAACACTGCTAAATGATGCAGCTAAAATCCAATCTCCAAATTGCTGCTAACAATCATATGGAGGATACCAATGCAGCCAAATCCAAAAGTCCATTAGAACTATCGGAAAAATCAGTATGCATCCAAAACCCTTATCAGTATCGATACTCACTGCAAACATATGAAAACTCCAAACCCCAGCAATGTTGAGTGGAATTCTTTGCTGAAAATCCATTGCCCCCTGCCAGATGTTGGCGGGAGCTTTTATTCTAGTGCACGAGGGTCGATCGTACGCGACCTTCACACGGCGACCGACTCCCCGAACGACGAGTTTATACCTTCGGACGATCATTGCTCGTTATGTATGGAACGACGCCATACGACACTGTCCCGAGCTTCCCAGTGCGATCCTTGTCGAGGCAACATTAGTTCGCGCAACCCCAGACAACGCGGGAGAGGAGTGACCGTCGTCTCGAATTCCTGGTGGCACATCTGATATGGTATCGTGTCTTCCTCTCGAGCTTCCGCACTTGCACTGACATGGTTAGGGGTTGTGTCCACGTGATGAAATCCATAATATACCATATCAAGTACTTCAGATAAAGTCATTAAAAAGTTAAAGTCAAAGTATAATTCAAAATAAAAATATATGATCTATCATGTTGATATGTCCGACCCAAAATATATCAATAGAGATAATTATGAGAGTATTAGATAGGCTTTGACCATTAACGATTAAGAATGTCACGTATCATCATAAATCTTGGACTCAAATCTCATTTTCGTTATTTATCTTTTGTTAAAAAAATAATATAAATTTAAGATTTAATTTTTTATTAAAAAATTATCTTCTAATAAAAATAATAATATGTAATCATTTGATGACATCAAAGGTGGAGAAAGAAATAGAAAAAATTAACCGACACAAAAATAAAAATATTCCAAAATGATTTCATATATTTTAATGGAGGCAACCAATCGAACAATACAGCAATTGGATTTGTGTCGATCCAAATTTTCCTCACGCCAATGCCGTTTCCGGGCGTCGCATCAACGCCAAGAATTTGCCGAGAATTCCGCCGTTACGATGGAGTCAAAAAGTCTCACAGTCAAACCCTGCAAAAAGAACGAAGGAATCGCCCATCTTTTTCTTGTCCTTACAAAATTATCCTTACTAAGATTAAGATTATTTATAGGGATATCTACATATACATCACTCTCTCATTAATAAGTATCCAAAATATTTTGCTTAATTATGATTAACGATGGTCAGGATTAATTTTTAATTAAATATACATATATAATACCTATAATTCTAGGAGTTTAACAGGTACAAATATCATTTAAAGTTTCAAATATAAAACCATTGAAAGATTATATATATATATATATATATATATATATATATATATATATATATATAAAGATAAATATAAGCCATATGTATTGAATGTTCATTTTTGCCACCAATGATACAATGATATCATAGGACAGTTGTTTCAACTCATATTTCATAGAGCCTCACGAATAATAAATTTAGTAGTTTTTTTCAGTAATATATATTGTATAATTTATTTTTTTAATTTAAGCTAATCACTTCACTAATTTTTTTTTGATGAATGTTTAAAAAGAAATATAAGGTGGACATATAGAGTTAATAGAAAAGATTTAGTAAGAATAATTTTGAATACTTAGATGGTATGAAAAATAAAATAAAAATAAATCAGCTAAGATGACATAGATGTATTTCCATCCGATAGCAAATTTCGACCGTCGGATTTTGATATGGCGATCATGATTTGATGGGAGGAAATCCTCCCGTAGACGAGGCTCCCACAGGTGCATTTACACGAATCGTAAAGCAGGACGGACGACAGCTAAGCAATAAGATTTGCGCGGCGACATGCGTGATACGTTGTCGCCGCCGTCACACGACGAGAACCATGGTGGGATCATGCCACGTCGGCTCGGTGTCCCGCCCGAGCAACTGCTTCGGCAGCCGAGCCGTCTGACAGCTGGGGACAGCCTGTCAGCAACTCGTAGCCAACAAAGCCACCGTCTCTCTCCCCTCGGCCTCTTGTCTTCGTCTTCGTACTCCTCTCCGGCTCTCTCTCTCTCTTCTCTCTCTCTCTCTCGACCAACTAGGGTTTCGCCCTCGGCCCCGTCCGAATCGCTTCCTCTGCTCGCCGGATCGGGTTTCTTCCCTCGGAGAGCTCTCCTTCAAGCTCCGCGTCTCGATATCTTGTCCGGTCTTTGCCTCCCGGAGCCGCGGTTTAGGGTCTTCCCTCGCTCCTCATGGATCGCTCGGAGTCTCTCTGATCCGGCTCCAGGTTCGTCCTTTTTTTATCTCTTCTTTCGTTCGCCTCGCGTTATCCGGGTGTTGGCGTGTTTTAGTAGCTTGATTTATGTATGTTGTTCGATTTAAGCGCAAATTTCGTACCTTTTGTTAGATTTAGTTCTAACATTTTTGTTCTTACATTGTAAAAGGATGATTTTTCCGCTTTTTTGGGTTGGGAATAATTACAATAAGTCTGTTATCATCATAATTAGTTTTGGGGCTGTTTATATAGTTCTGTGTTGCAGCATTATGAGATATTGAGCTTCTTAAATGCTATGTTTCCAAAATTGTAGTTCATAAGTACTCTTGAATTAAAAGTTAACTAAGTATGTTCCTCCTGGTATAGAAGTTTGCAAGATGGTGGTGAAAAGGTGCGTATGTGTTGAGAGAAGTGTAGAAAGGGTTATTCTGTTGATATAGGTAATGTGGATTGCAGGCTGTAGCTTTAGTGTTTGTCACTGTCTAATTAACCAACTTTCTTGTACGTAATGTGATCCCATTCCTCCTGATCTTTTGTTTGATGTCTTGCCCGAGGTTAGTAGAGTTAGATTTCTTGGTTCTATTGGCTATCATGCTGGATTAGTTGTATGATTTGGTTGTGTAGCTAGTGAAATGCTAGTTGTTTCTTGCTTATACCAAGAATGACTTGATACCAAGATTCTGTTAGTATCACTGAGCATCTCCATTATTTTGTCATGGAACAATAAGATTATATGTTATGCTGAAGCAGCATAACATACGGCCATCATTTAAAGTGTTTGAAATTTTTTTCTTGTCGATGGTTGGATACTCAATTGTGGACGATAGGATTGATCCCAGCAGGGTCAGATTTTTTTTTCATTTATATTTTTATGATGATTATGATAACTCTTTGCAACTGCTGCTTACCTAAAATCGTTAACTTTTTATAGGTGGCATGAACATGAAGGTGCATGGTATTGGGTTGCCTGACTGGACTCTATAAGTTGTTCAAATGTTCAAGTTTCAATTGTTGGCAAGGGTTTTAATTTGCAATGGAAGATCCAATTTGTGAGGCTTTGGTAAAAGCTCAAGATTCCTTCTCATTGACATTAGATCAGTTTTGGTCATCTTAAAGAGTGCAGTGCGTATGCAGCACTAGACCTCTGTGGAGGTGTCACTGTTCGTCATACTTGTGGGCCCGAGCTCTTAGGTACCGATGCTCGGGGAGAGCATGCGTGGAATCTGTGTTCCGTGTGATGCCCCTGACCAGATTCAGTTCCGATGCATTTGGTGTGGTAACCATTTCTCTCGTCATTCTTTTTCATGTCTTGGCTATACGATGCATATACCAAGTTGTCTATCTACAAGTACGGATCCATCGACGTGATTTTCTCCAGCTTGGTTACTTCAATGGGCCCTGGATTACGCGCATTTTTCTAGTTATAGTTGCAATTTGGTGGAGCCTAAGTGAAATTGCTAGGCTTAGTTTTTTAAAAGGAAGGATCTTCTCTAGCATAACATGGCAGCAAAATTTTTGCAAGATCTACATCCTTTTCAATCTTGGGTTTTCAGAACCTTCTGTGTTTCTCACGCTTGTGTTCCTACTACGGGCCTCCTTGCGGAGGAGGGAGTTGGGCACTCTAAGTCAAGGATGGAACAAAAAAACCATCAGTTATGTCTTCCTTTACTGCATTCCAATTTTTGTCATGCAAATTTTTGTGGATTTTGCTGGACCCAGGTTTTTCAGCGAAGCTAAGAATGACGGGGGAGCAAAGAAGCTCAACTACTTCACAAAAGCTAGTGTCTTGATTGGAGATGAGTGTGTATGCACTTATCCTCTCTTTAGCACCATTCTTCTTGGGCTTTTTCATGCTGTTCTGATTAGTTACGTATCGTACATTGGAATGCATGTATTCCTGTCAGTGATCAACAAACGGCTGCTCCAAAGGCTCTATTGGTTGGTATCCTCAGTTATCTTTTCTCTTCCAGTAAGGGTTCTCCTCCTGGGTTTCTCTGTCCTACCTCAACCGGGCAACTTGGCTTATGAGCTGATTGTTTTCTTAGCCTTTCTGGTCATGTTGTTTTGCACTGTGATTGGTATCCTTGTCTTGGTCTACTTCCCAGTGGCAGATTTAATGGCCCTGAGAAAGCCAGAGGAAAGAGAGGTGGAAGGGATGCCCTATGATGATTATTTCAATGATAGTGCTTCACTTGTGGCCAACCAGAGCCGTCATGACACTAGGAGGAGTTCTGATGTCTCCACAATGCGTGGGTCCATATCTTTTCGCACAATGATCAGAGATGACACCCCTGATTTGGATATCAGTGACGAGACGAACTTGTCCTTTCATGGTGCTCTTCATATTGGTTCGCCTTCAGTTTCTTCTTCAACGCCTGCAAGGCCCATGCTCCCTCTTAGAGAAGTCCCCAGATACTAGGAAGAAACTGCAAGTCCACATACATCTCCTATGTTGTTAACTATACCGAATTCTGTTTTATGGTGTTACAATTTAAATTTTGATTGGTGGTGTTTTGTGGTTGGGCACCTTTTCGGAACATGGTAAATGTTGATTACATCAGCTGAGCTCTATGTACAGCCCGGGCTGGAATGTGAAACTAGTAGGGATGATGGTGCACTACTGGAGTTGCACTAGTTTAATTTTATGATAGATTTGCCCATGCTTGTGTGCTGAATAGTGTTAACTATTTTCTGCTGCCACTTAATGGTACCTGTATCTTACTGTCAATTCCTAGCATCTCCTGGAAATGCTAACTTCATTACTCACGAGGTGATATCATTGAATGATTTCTTTCATCAATTTTCTGTTGTCCCCTGTTGCTAGTTAGCATCTCCTGGTTGGAAATGCTGATGTCATCTGTTCCCTGTTGCTAGTTGGTTTGTTCAGGCTTCAGTTCAATGTATAATTCTGATTTTACTATCAAATTAGTTGTGCCCGCATTGCATTTTCTTTTTTTGTTTCATTAACTTCCTTCTGATCCCATATGCTAGCTGGTGTCTGTTGAAAGCAGATTTGAAGAAGAGGTCATAAGATTCTACTTGAATGGCTTCTGCCATGGTCTCCTAATGCAGGCAAGGGATACTGTTTTCATGTAGATGTAGGAATCCCCAACTCAAGGTGGTTGGTTATTTTGGTTCATCTTTTGATTTATTACGCATCAATGTTTGTTGCAGTTGTTTCATTTTTTAACATATTTATATTTTATCTTCGACATTTCTCTTCAAATTCATTCATGCCTTGTTGTTTTAGATAAAAGCACTTTTGCCTTTAATTCAGTTTCTCTTTTTCTTGCTTCACTTTCTGGTTCTGTATGGATTCAAAACCTGAATTTAGTTTGGTTCGACCTATCCGCCTCTTTTGTCAACTACTACTTGTGGGGGAAATTTATGATATGTGCACATTTCTCTATTGCAATTTCATCCATGTACCTAAGATAGATTGGCATTCATTTACAGGGATCAGCATCTGAGCAATGCTTTTAACTTGCTGTTAATTCTCCATCGTTGCGTTACTGTAAATCTTGGGGTGGAGTTCGATGCATGCATGTTCATTTACATGGATCAGCATTTTAGCAAAGTTTTCAATCTGCATGTTAGTTTAAAACAAGTGCTTCTCTCTTGCAGTAATTTGGGGATGAAATTGCATGGGCTGCTAATCATGTATTGGCTAAATGATCATAATTATCGGTAGTTGCTTTCAATATATGTATGTGTGTGAGTTGGCACTGAGTTTTCTACTTGAAATGCTGATTGATGTGCATCACAGAAACAGAGGTTGATAGGTTTTTCCGAGCAACTGAGGTTGTCATAATCTAAGTCATCAGATCTGTTCAATGAATAAAATGTGTGAAGTAAAGAATTGTGTTGGGACTTGGTTACCTTGTTACGAGTGAAGTAGTCTCTTCAAGGAACTCTAGCCGCATGTCATTGGAAAATTTATCGCATGGGGGATTTTAACCAAAGTCAAATTGTTAGAGACATTTATAGTCAGCAATTATAGGTTAGTAGTTGACTGTGTCGGGCCAATTTGCATATGGTTAGTAGTTGACTGACTTGGAAAAGTAAGTCATCCACCAATTAAACATTGATGCATGGAGTTAGAGGTTCTATTTTTCTAGCTTATCCTATCTCAAATTTAAGCATCGGAAGAGAGGGTTTTAGCTTACTCTCATATGTTAATTTGTCTAAATTAAGGTAGATTCAAAAATATTTTAACAGAAATTATGAATATAAAATTAAATATATTTAATATTATTAGTGGTTTTTTTTTTTAATTTTTTTATTATTGTTTTTAACAGAGTTCGATAATGATAAGAGGTCTTTCGTAAGCCTAAGTATTAATTACGTACAGAAAGTTCGTTAAAGAAAGAAACAATATTTTCTCCTTCATTTTTATGACTAAAATACCCCTATTATATATGTTATTCACCGTGGAAGACTTGCCAGGACGACGGACGACGGACGAGAACAGTTCATTAAAGGGTAATTTAGGCAACTCCTTGCGAACGAATCTATATGGAGGACCCATCGGCGCGTGGGGGAAGCAAGTCCGAAACCCTAACACCAGCTTTGCATCGAGAGCGAGGAACTCGTCGGAGAGCGATCGATGGCGTCGTTCGCGGAAGCTCCTCCGGGCGATCCCAAGGCCGGGGAGAAGATCTTCAAGACCAAGTGCGCCCAGTGCCACACCGTCGACAAGGGCGCCGGCCACAAGCAAGGTTGATTGAACTCTCTCTCTTCACGTCCTTTCGTCTCCAACCCTTTTCACCCTTTTCATGAAGACGGAATATGCAGCTTTACTTATATCTTATACAAACCTGCAAATCTTGGAGTGTCTTTTGTAGTTCTTGCTGCGGCTAGAATTCATTTTTGATCGTGTTTTCCCTTCTCCTTTATTGATATGGTTGTAATCGATTGATTTGATTCCGTTTTTCGATTTTTGTTTTGTTTTATTACTTCATATTGAGGACAAAGGTGATTTGATTGCACACAGGACCCAATTTGAACGGTCTTTTCGGGAGGCAATCTGGAACGACGGCAGGTTACTCCTACTCTGCTGCAAACAAGAACATGGCTGTGGTGTGGGAGGAGACAACTTTGTATGATTACTTGCTTAACCCTAAGAAGGTATCGACCTTCGACCCGTTACTTGTGGCTGTGTATTGTTTTGCATGCTTTCGGCTATCGATTTTTCTGGCCAAGACCATCCTCCACACTAGTCTTTGTATGCTTTATCTGTGGGGTGGGGGTTGGATCAAGCAGATGCATATCTATGACATGGATTAATATGGCATTAATGCCATACATGAACAAAGATCCGATAGATAACTCAATTAGAACTTCTGATGCTTGGGCTTCCGTTTTTAGTGAATATCCGACTACATTGTGTGTCGGTATGACACATCACAGGTGTAGCCGCCAGATGGTGGTTGGACTTGGTTAGAACCCGCCAAAGTTGGTCTAACTTGGCCAAAATCAGTCAATCTTGATCAATCTATTGATCATTCCTATTGGTCCTTCACTGACGATGAAGAATTAGCAGCAAGTGGTGATCAACCCCTCACTACATGAGAAGAAAACATTATAGGAGAAGAGTACCTTGTTGGGACTTTAGTTGACATCAGCGTTGTCACTCTCTGTCATTATTTTTGTTCCCTGCTTGTCCTCATGTTCTTACCTTGTTCTAGTCATAACCTTGCCACAGAGGGAGGGCATGGGGACCTAGATGGGGGAGAGAGAGGAGGGGAAGGGGTTCGGTGATTCATGGGTTTTCAAATTGAGTCATGTGCAAGTAATTCATATGCATTTTCACCATTGCTTAATAAGGAAATGAGATAAGAAAAGAGTGGAGGAGAAAAAGAGAAACTGAGAGAAAATAATATGTAACTGTATTGAAAACTCTGGAACAGCGATATACTCATTTCTAAAATATATAGTTCTAGAAATCTTAATTTTTGAATTTTCATCTTAAGGTGTTATAAATCAGGTTTCTTTATTATTGCTTAGAGTCTGTATTCTCCTCCAGATTTAATTTAGAGATTTTTTAGGCCATAACTTATATGCTAAGAATAAATAGCAACCATTTTGGAGACGGATCCAAAATGGTTGAATGGCAGGTCAATATGAGAGTTTTAGTGGATGGCGATGGCACATTGTTGATAAAAAAGTAAATAAATAAGTTCTAACTATGTGCAAAATAATGGGTGCTTGATCTGTGATGCTGATGGTGCAAGTTTTAGCTGGTTTACTAGTGTATACTTGTTCTGTCGGATATTTATTTCATGGCATTGTTAAATTTATCGAAGTCTTCACGCGGAAAAGACGGTTTTTCTTTTGATTAACTTGCTGTTTTCTTATAAAAATAGTATAATTTGGGAGTTATTGACTGAATGGTTGCATGAACTCTAAGGTGACAGTTTTTCATGGTTGTTAAATATACAAAACACATTTTTTATGTATATGTTTTCCTCTTTAGATAAAGCATATATCAGATTTACAATTGATGTTCTTGTTCGCTCCAAACCTAATAGGGTATCATATTGATGTTGTTGCATATATAAGCAAATAGTTTTGCACCTTAGGAGTGCTTATGTACCTAACTTCCTAGGCACAGTCGTGAACAAATTAATAGGCTGTAGGGTTGTCACATTACTACTAAAGATGGCATCACGACCATGATTGTCTCTAATGGAGTTTTCTTGTTTATTGCAGTATATTCCTGGTACTAAGATGGTTTTTCCTGGTCTGAAGAAGGCACAAGAGCGTGCAGATCTTATTTCTTATCTCAAACAATCAACAGCTTGAGGGTTCTATTTTTCCCTTCCATGCTGAAACAAAATTATTTTTCTGCCAATAAGACCATAACATTATCCTTCTTCTAACTAGCAGTTTCCTATGGTATATTCTTTATAAGTTTCTTCAGTCTCATTGCCCAGGCAATGAACTCTCGCCTGAGATGTCTAGTTTTGTCCCTAGAAGCTCGCAGCCACATTTCTATGAATATGAATACTTGAGTTTAACATGTGACATTTTCTTGGTGTTGCGGCCCGTTAACTGCATTTGTTCTCGCTTTTTGTGATACTAGTAATTTGTTAAAGAATTGGTTTCCATGGTGATTGATCTGTTCTATACATATGTTTTTATCTGTGAGCTTATTACGAGCCAATGCTTCTCAACCTTAGTCAGCTCAGCTACTTGATTCTAGGCTTATCCATGCAATTTTATGCTTATGTCCATGGAGTAGTTATATAATGCATCTATGCAATTTCCTAGCTTTAATTTGGTCATCTAGTAATTTAGCACTTGCAAGTCAAGTAGTTGATGATTTCGGATTGTTGGATTATATTCATTCATATGTTTTTTTATTTTTTATTTCAGTTGGTAATTTGTTGGATCCACTTGTCAAAGTTCAAATTTGATATAGCAAGAATCTGTGTGTCAACTGCCATCCTTGGTTTCAATGGATAGTTGCTAACCTTCTGTAAACAACAACAAGAATGAAAGAAAAGCATCTTTGTGGTGGTTGCCAACCCGACTCTCAACCATTTGTTTTCGCCTCCCACAAAACACTTGAAACTTGTGTGCTATAAATCTGGCGACTGGTCAATTGCTTTAGTACCCCGCCAAACACCCTGAACTTGTGTGCTATAAAGGTATATGAGTGGCCCACTGATATGGAAATTGTGTGTCGCTTTGTCTCTAGATTATGTGGACCTTTAGAGGTTTTAATGGCCCAATTTGGAATTGTCATACCAATCATGCTGCTCTGATGTTTTCAATGCTTGAGACTGAAAGCTGTGGGCAAGTTGGCAACTTTAATAAGATCAATGTGGAGATGAATGTGAAAGATAAACGATGGGCACAATACTTGTGTTCTATCTATTTTTGAGTCTTCTGATTCTGACCTTAAACCTTTCCCACACACACACTAGTTCCTATTTAGGTTACAGGTATTGATTGTTCTGAAGTTTCTGTTTGAGAATGTTGTAAATATTTAATCTTTTTAATTCCATCTCAGTAATCATAATTAATTTCGAGATATATATATATGTATATATAATATTTGAAAGAAATAAATATTCGTTACAACTTCTGGTTATGTTAAACATGTTCGCCCACGGGCGTACCTTGACTAGGACCCACCTGCGACTGGAACGCCCCCTCTGACAGCAAGGCTGCCTTTGACCGCACGTCGGGTAGACGAGCGGCTAAAGAAATAAATATTTGTAATTACACATATATGAAGAGTGTTAATAGATGGAAGACAAACGATTTTTAACCCATGCGTCGAACACCCGCTACCGTACCTGCGTCGCGATTGGGACCCACCTGTGACGGCATCCCTATATCTGATGGCAAGGCGTGTTGGCAAACCGTGATTTCGAGTGAAAGGGGTGCCCCAGCTGATGTAGGTGCAGGTGTTTTTAGAATGGGACCCACAATGCAACGACATCGCTACCTCTGACCGCAAACCCGGCGGTCGAGTGGGTAAACGAAATTACTATTATTATTATTATTATTATTTGAACAGAGTAAATAGTTGAAAGACATGATTTTTAACACCCGTTATTCGTGCACCCGCTCACGTACCTGCCTGCGATTGGGACCCACCTTCGACGTCATCGCCGTATTCGGTGACCCATTGACGACCACAGGAACGTTCGCCTCTTTCCAACTGACAACGGCGAGCATCCAACTGCCTCAAATATACGCGCGCGCGTACGCTATCACGCCTCCTCCTTTGCTTCGACACTGGTTTTTATATTCTTGTCCGCATTAATAGTCTATATATGTATTTGATGTGAGATGATCTCAGCAGCGGATTCCATCCACTCTTTGGTTGCGGCTGGACTTCCTGCAACTCCCATCCCAACCATTCATTTCACGGAGCGTCACTCATCGTCGGTGATGGCTTCGACCGTGTGTTTTGTGGGTAGAAATAAACAGAATCGGATCCTTCCCTGACAGAAACACACGGAATATTAAACAGTCCTGGTGCCGTCTGTTTTCATCGAGAGTCGTGCACATCCCTGATGGACGGTTCACCTGCGCAGGTCGGCATCAGTTACGACTCTCACGGACATTCGTATCGAAATCGAAGATATTTTTATGTTTATTTAATTTTATTATTATTATTATTATTGTTATTTACCTGATTCCCAATATGAAGCGTGGATGCCCAACAAAGAGATGGCGTCCATGGCTTCCCTGCCCTGATGCCGGATCCCTCTGCCACTCCCTCTCCACGCCCCGTGATCGGGTCCGCTGCGATGGAAGGGCACGAGTACTACCACGATTGGGAGATCCTTGTCGGCCCAGAGATCGCCGGAGAGGATTTGAAGCTCTTGGAAGCGTCGGATGATGGCTCAATGGACGGCGGCATCAAATCCGACTACTTCGCGCTCGATGCCCGCACGCCGCACCACGAGGTGGAGCAACAGGTTGATTCGGATAACCCTAGTTGGGTTGATCCGGAATCGGACTCCGGGTTCCTCGACCGGCCCAAGGGGGAGGTAGGCTTCCCCGGAGTCGAGTTCCCGATCAAGGATTTGGGTGAGTTCTGGTCCGATGCGACGTCGGACGAGCAAAGATCGCATCTTGGTAGCGAAAAGGAGGGACTTGGTGACGACGGAGGTTTAGAGTTCGGAGAGAGGGCTGAGGGAGACGTGGTGGGCGAGAAAGAAGTGGGTCTGGAGGACACCTGGGAGATCGAAGGGAGGGAGACGGGATGCGAGAAGCCTGGCGAAGAGGGTTGTGGTGAACAAGGGGAGATGACGGATGATGGGAACATTGGGTCGGAGAACGTGTTGGCTAGTGGGCAAGAGAAGAGAAGGGTGGTTTGGTGGAAGCTCCCCTTTGAGCTCCTAAAATTCTGTGCTTTCAGGGCGAAGCCAGTTTGGTCCATCTCTATCGTTGCCGCGATATTGGGGTTTTTGATGTTGAGGAAGAGGTTTTATAGGATTAGACAAAAGCCTACAAGTATTCCTTTGAATCTTTGCCTGGATGAGAAGGTAGAATTCTGCTATCTGTTTCCTTGCTTAATTAATGACTATATGTTCATCCATTTATTTCCAATATGTTCCTTGGTTAATTAGTTTCATTGTTCTCCATGAATAGTAGGTTTTAGTGAAGTGAAACACTGGGACTTGGAACAATTTCTGCTGGACCAGCACTTACAGATAGTGCAATAGCATGTAGATATGCCGGTTCGAGTCTTATTTATCATTTAGCATATAAAATTGTGTGCTTTGCTGAATGATGCAATCTAGATCTCTTTGCATATATGTGAGCCATCCTAGTCACTTGAATTAATTTTGGCTTTATATATTTTTATGTTAAGATCCCAACGAGTTAATGATGTTTGTCCATTATCTTCATTTTAGAGTCTGCCTGTGTTCTTCAGTCGCTTGAACATTTTATACTTGTTAGGAGTGCTTTAACAAGGATCTTAACCTAGATATGCTTCAAAACTATAGACTGTATATTTCCAAGGTTGTCATGTTTTTCAAGTTTCATAAGTAGCAATGTATTGCTTGTTTTGGTGTCATGCTGAAGATTTGATTTTTTTTTTTTTTTGTCCTACATATTTTGTTGCCAAAATATGCTTACAAGCATATCTTGTAATGGAGGCTTGATGCCTGTAAGTTCGGTCCTATTCTGCGTGAGATGTTTTATGTAGTATATGGACCTACTACCCTGCAAATTGTATGTTCTTTTTGTTAGCAATGGTGCAGAGCCATACAGATTCTTGTCCTATTTGTGAAACAATTGTTTGTGTCAGCTGAAATTGCATATCGATACTCAATCCATGTGTGTACCAATGTTCTGTGACAACTCGCAGAAATCCTTCAACTTAAAATTGCATATCAAGAATCAACCAATGTGTGCACCAATGTTCTGTGACAACTTGCAGAAATCCATCAACTTAAGTGATTCAACCTTGCAATGCTTATGAATTGTTAAGTTTCCTTGTCATAGAGCATTTTAGCTTGTAAATTAACCTAAATATATGACCGCCATCTGGCTATTAGTTCCTGAAGAAAAGGTTGTTACTTTATGGTCAACTGCATTCATCTTTTCTTGTCACTGAGCTCTGTACAAGACAATATGACATTCGAATCAAGGCAACCATTTCTCAATAATTAGCACACAATTATTCATAAAGAATTTGTGTAAGTTGTGATTGCATTATCTGCATCTGACTCTGGTCCAATTAATTCTAATTTAATCTTTTTCAATAAGTGCAACATCTATATAGTATATAAAGAAATTTTAAGGTGGTTTTGGAATGTCGAAGCACAACCTGTTAATGGACCAGTATAGATTCATATTTCAGGTGCCATGGAGATGATGACCAAAGGAGAATTTGATCAAAGGTTTCTGATATGGCATTCTGTGGCACATATAATCTCAATATATGCCAGCTATACTGTTAGTTGGAATATCAAAGATTCTCTTTCTCATGTGGTTCGATATTGTGTTCTGCAGAAGGCATCCCAGTTGAAGATTCATGCAGCCCGTCTCAACAAAGCTTTCACGGTCGTAAGGCGTGTTCCCATCATAAGAGCTTCACTACCCGCTGCCGGCATGACCCGGCGGTCCATGGTTGGCCTTCAATGATATCAATGCAGATGGAAACGATTCACTAGTACTGAAAATATATGCTTCTCCAAAAACTCATGTTTTCATGCTCTATAATTAAATTTCAAATGGTGCATCTTCTTCACTGTCTAAGCTTCGTTTGTATGGGTCAAGTCATCAATGCTCTCCATGAACTGTAACTCTGTAAACATGGAAAAATGCTGTTTATCATTACATACTTGGTCGACTAACACATTCGTGTGAAGATGAGATTGTGTATCATTAGACATTGTCTTTTGAGATTATATCAGACAGTGATGAAGTTCGCTAATGAGCGGGTATCGATCTGAGCATATTGATGCTCGATTAAAACTACGTTGGCACTCTCTTAACTTTGCATTAGCGGAAGTTTCATGCATTGGATACGTGCATAGTGATGAGAAGCATGACGCTATACACCCATATTGCTGCTGTGGTTTGGTTTGGGAATATGTTCTCTAAAAGGCATATATCGATGCCCAATTAAAACTAATTATGAGAAGCATGACACTAAATTTGAAATGTCATAGGAAGGGCTTTGAATTGTCGGATTCTTACAATTAGTTCTTGACGATTTAGATATATAGCCCACTAATTTGATAGGCTTTGAATCATATGGTCTAATTAATGACTCCATAGCTATATGCATCAAGTGGTCGTGCCGGAGTGGTTATCGGGCATGACTAGAAATCATGTGGGCTCTGCCCGCGCAGGTTCGAATCCTGCCGACCACGTACTTATTTTATGTGTTACAATAAATTGTTATTTATTTTTCTTTTTATTCTATTTCTTACACTACTAACAACCGTTTGAATATTTCTTGCTTCGGTTTATTTTATTTTTCTTTCATGTTAATTTTATTGGATATCTAATAATAATAATAATAATAATAATAATAATTACATTTGGATGGCCATTGATAAAGTCAAATATGACTTATTGATCCGTAGCTCTGAAATATCCATTTTGCATAGAATCGATCATTTCTATTGAGTATGATAAAGCTACAGGTTCAGATTCTTTCTCCTAAATTAATTAGACGGATGCGAGCACTCAGGATTGGTTTAAACTAAAGTACGAACGATGTCTTCCTATTCAAACTGTGATGACTCTCTCCCTATCTGCTGAAATGGGTGAAGGTTTAGGTTATGTTTTACATGGTGATGCTGATAATTCATTTTTTTTTTATATGATTGCAAATGAATGGATAATAAGAGCACCGTAATTAATTAAAGATGACCGACAAACTAGAATAAACACTAGGTGGGTTTGGGTTTTCATTGAATGTATGCAGACTCACCGAGGTTGTTTGATACGTAACCCATCTTTCAACATATTCCAAGTATAATTTGTATGCAGTCAAGCACTATAATCGCTCCAAATCATAGAGTTTGAATCCCACTTGCACTTATAATGAAGTGTGTAATGAGTTGACACTAACAACTCCGTGTATAAACAAATAGACTAAAATCTTCCATACAAAACCTTGAATGGCACTGCAGGTCCCTTTCGTTATCTTTATGTAAGTAACTAAGAGAGTTGGAAGAATGATCATATCTTGGTCTGCAAACCTTCTACCAGTAATACCCTTCCATCCTCCGAGAAGAATCGCCTTGAAGTAACACAGATCATCACCAGAGATTGAGGGGTAGTTGGGGGGAGACAGCCAGTAAAGCAATTCTTAGAACCAACAGCCAGTAAAGCTCTTCCATGAGCCACCTCGATCCCAGCCCTTGGAGGAGAAGTTGCCTTGGAGTAACACTGATCACTTCTACAGATTGCGGAGTAGATGGCATGACTTCAGAATCCCATAACTGTTGAAGAAACGTTGAGCAAGGGGGCCAAGGCACTCGGAGCAAACTTCCTTGCAAAGAGGAAGCAAACAGATGTCGACCTTGAGTTGTACATGCAGGAGGTGCCATTGTTTCTGATGGATTGGATGAACTCCACGGTGATGTTTGCAGCACCATACCGTGCCGGATGAGATCCTCCCCTGGACCAATCAACCCAAGTCACACTCCGGTTCGCATTCAGAGACCCATGGAACATGTTCAGATAAGTTGGAATATAGTGCTCGTCGGGGTAGCAGGAAGGCTTGCAGTACTTCCTGAAAAGGGAGTAGTACGTGTGCTCTGCAACTATATCGATGGCCAATCCACGGTTGAGCTCAAACCACTCTGAACCTTTCCTCCACTGGGACAGCTTGATCTTGGGACTCATGCGCCAGTTATAGCGACCGCGGGCCTGTTGTATGTCTTTGTCGTAGGAGTCAACAAAGCTGTGGGCAGAATTCACGAGGTATTCATAGACGGTAGGGAAACTATATACTGGAATGCAACTCTCAGAGAGCAAAACAAAGCGCTCGTTGGAGAAATCCAACAAGGCATTCGCCAGAAGTCGCTTCTCAGCATCTAAAAGTGTTATTGATCCCCATGAGACCTCCTGCAAGCATATGAGAAAGGGCAAGGACATTAGATGCAATTGCATGCAGAATTGTTTTAATTAAATGCCAATTTCTTATTTACTTCTTTTTTGCTTTGCCATCAAGTGGTTAAGTTTTCCTAAAGAGACAAGGATTTTTCACCATATAAGCAGATCGCTGTTTGCAACAAAAACTCATCTCAATTTATGATTACCTATCAAACATGCTGTTCTAAGGTTACTTATGTTCCAAAGTAGAAAACTTCCCCAGAATCCCGCATATCAAGTGTTAGATAAATAATTTAAATTTAAATGGAAATGTGAGAGTCTTTGATAAAGAGATAGTCTTGAGGATGGTTTGAGATGATAGGATGTTTCATTTGAGATTAGATATCTTTTGCATAATCAAAGAGTCCATTGAGACTCTTAGTTTGACTCCTCAAGTAATAGGGGGCAATATTTATGCATTGCGCATAAATCAAGAAAGAAAGAATAAACTACCTTATAGCTCCTTCTCTACCTTCTCCCTCTTCTTCTATCCTCTTGTTTAGTTTAGTCTACGAATGGTTGATGATTTTCCCAACACGATATCCAAGCCAATGTTAAAATATAAAAATGAGCTAGTAAACAAAATTAGACAAAAAAAAAAAAAGAAGAGCTTGATATTGGCCGCAATTAAAGGAACCAATTTTGTCCTAATCAACCTGCCTTCATCGAGAAAGATTACTTTTTTTAGGTCAAGAGGTTAATAGCGAGATCTCAAATCAAATTGTTGGTCTCATGGTATATCTCAGTATAGAAGATAATAAGGGGGAAATGTTAAAAGAATATTTATGTGTGAACAATGAACATTGAAAGAGGGCTGAAAAATAATCCTACATTGGTAAGAAATTGAGAGAGTCGGACACATACTGAATTAGACCGACAACTTAGCAAACTTAAGCCAACAGAGTGACTGGTTTGACTCAGACACATCAACAACATGAAGATGATGGTATGATAATGAGTAAAGCCACTAGTGAACCTAGAATTAGATTAGCCGCAACTTCACTGAGATGATATGATAATGCTATCTAATGAAGAAGGATTGGGTAAGAATGAGCTGTGCGTCTAAAGATCTAACCTGGCTCGGGATCTGCCTGCCATAGAAAGCAGAAGTCTCAGGGACACTGAGCTTGTAATCTGGAAGCGTGTGCACGTAAATGGAGTACAGCCCTCTGTGGCCTTTGAAAAACCTGTCCCAGAGCGGCACAAAAGGCAGAGGTCCCTTCGTCATGAACAAGAATGCCACCTTCGGCACCCTCTCAAACGGATACTCCGCCATTATTGGCACCACCGTCGCCCTCCAGAAGAGCTCGTCGTCACTCATGCCATGCATCGAACAGGTTGGCTGCACGAACCTCTTGATGCTCAAACTCTCTTTGTCGCAGTTCCCCGCGTAAGTTGCCCTCGGGAAGAAGAGCTCGGTCCGCGAGTTGTAGTGCCGAGTGTAGTGTGCTGATACCGACAAGCCCAGCACGACGCCGGCCATGAACACGACTAGAAACGTCACGAGCTTCACCAGCCATCTGATCGACTGGTCCTTCCTCGGCGTCGTGGGGAAGTAATCCACCTCCTCTTGATCTGCCTGAGGCCTCGGTTTCATCTCATCCCACGTCTTTCTTCTCCCTTTCTCTCACTATAATTGGAGACTCCCTATCAGAAAAATGTGATCTTGATCAAACAAACTGCTTCGAGAAGAAATCGGAAATTCCAAACAAGCAACAGAAATCCAAATCGGAGCCTACAGAAATCATCCCCATATTTCCGGACCACTCCAAACCAGAAAAAAGCTCAGATTTTGCACCAAATCCGACACGAAGCAAATCTCACTCCTCCAGCAAAGCAAACAAATTTACATGGATCTGAAGAAAGGGGAACAGATAAAGGAGGGAAAATCCGAACCAAAGCGCTGAAAAGTGGGGATTAAATCACGGAAAAAACGAAAAAGAGTTCACCTTGGGAGCAACAGAAACTATCTTCCCAGCAGCAAATCTTGCCTTTGCCCCGAAGTTGTCAGATCGATCCAACGCAACAGATTCATGGGTCAGAGGACGCACTAGGAACTAATAATGGGGAGAGAGAGGCGGACTTAGTGGACTCGGGTCTCTGGCAATCGCCTCCGTTTCGCTACCCGAGTCAGTCAATGAGAGAAAAGGAGGGCCGAGTCGAAACGGTCGTCGCGGGACACGAATAAAAAACGCGACCGGGACTTCCTACGGGGCCCGCTCGACGCTCTTTTCCTCTCCTCTCATTTGTGGGACCCATTAACACGTGAGGTGGGTGTGGATGGTGAACTAACATGAAATGGAATGTCCGATTCCTCTCTAAAGGAGGCGAACGTTAGCCTTCCATCCGTTTCGTGATCGCCATCTGTCGGTTTCGGCTTATCTGCAAGTCTCTTTGCAATAGCCTCCGTGTCGAACGCATCACTACCGTTTACCCATATCTTAAAGGCCACGAAGTAAGTAGGTAACGCCTCTCATGCCCTTTGTACCCTAAACTCCTTTTCTAAGGAAATCCAATCCCATTTGAACTATTTCTTAATATAAATATATCTCAAATATAAAGTATCCTTATCTTTGTTTTTCTCGAATCCCCCTTTCGAATAATGTTCAAATTACTCTTCATCAATCCACTAGTATTTTTTTCCACTAGTTATACTATTTTAATCTATTATAATAACTAGTTATGGTGTTTTGATCTGTTTAAGTATTTTGATTTATTGTTATATATTAGTTATTATAATAAAAATATTATAAAATCTACTTAAAAATACTGTAAGTGATACGTATGGAAATGGATATAAGCACACTAATCCCTTGTTTGTTGGTGATTTATTGTGATCTAAGAAAAAAGGTGAATAATCACACAAAGATAAATCCTATATTAATCCGATTGCTCACCGGATTCAAGAAATGGATTCAATATTCGATGAGTTGGTGATGCTGCACTTAGTTGACGTGTTAATAGTCAAGTGACGAAGTCTTTTCTTCCCCATGACCATATATGGCTATTGAGTCTGTTCATAAGAGAAGTAAATTGGTCTAATAAAAATGGTGATAATTTTTTTTTATTTGTCGGTATTTTAGGGAAATGGAGTCATATTTGTCTTAGATTTTTCGAAACTCTCCTACCAATGTGACATTAGATATGACCTTAATCAGTACAAGTAAATGTCACGTACACTTGTATCACGCACAGTGGCTGCTGCCTTGTGCATCCGCTAAGCAATTCGACATGTAGCAGGAGAAGGGGAACAACCAGATCTGGAAGAAATGAGCTCTCTCCATCTCCTTCCCAAGCTCATACGCCTCCTCCACCGAACCCTCGTTCACATCATAACCCACCATCTCCCCCCTCAGCCACAAGTAAACCACCTCCCTCTGCGGATGGAACGCCATGAACTTGCACTGCAGTGGCAGACAAGGAAAAGAAGTGGAGCGACGGTGACTCCGTTCCACCATCCATGGAATGCTGATAACACCTCTTACCACCCACGTACCTCCATGAGAGTCTCTAAGCTTCCATATCTTTAGCTGATCTCCGTCCCTGTGGGTGTAGCAAAGACAACCACCGGATTTACCGATACGTGCTTCGTGCTTGATCGGTTCCGGCAGCTCGATCTTAAAGCAGGTATCGAAGCTGGTGACGTCGATGCCGACGACGTAGTTTGGATGAGCGAGGATGTAGAGGGTGGTATCGAAGAAGCACATGGTGGTGGACATGGCGTCGGAATGGATCCCCCAGTGCACATGGTGCTCGACCCAGTTCCCGGTGTCCGACGCGAATACCTCCAGCTCCGCCCCCTGCTCTACCCAGCCGGTGAAGGAGACGACCTTGAATTCGGAGGAGTTGCAGGGATCGAACGCCATGATCGAGCGCTGGCTTCTCTTGGATGGCTTGGGGAGCTTCCTCCACCGTCTTGTAGCTGGGTTGAGGACATGAAACGCGGAGAGGAGGCTCGAGTAGCAAAGGAGCAACCCGTTGCAGACGTCGACGATGGTCGAGCTCTGATGGAAGGGAAAGAAGGTAAGACTGCAGCCGCCGAGACTGCCGTCCGAGGACGTGCATGCGTACCTCGGCTCCTCCATCAGGTCGGGCTCCAATGTGTAGAAGATGGCGGACGTGATCAGGGGTAGTTTTCGCCGGAGGTAGTCGTCGTTGGAGATGAGTCTGCACCATGCTTTGCAGACGCACGTGAACCTGAACAAGGACTTCAAGGGGAGCCTCGTCAGGATCTCCACCAACAACTCATCGTCCATGATGGCTCGATCACTTGCAGCAGACGAACACCACCACGTCTTATAGAGTTGAAGTCACTGGAATCTTGAAGCAGGAAACACCACAAAGAAGAAGAAGAAGAAGATTCGACGATAAGGTAGGATAGAAAGTCTGGTTGTTATCGGGATAAGATGAAGGGGTTGACGGAGTAGGGTCAGATGATCGTGGCTTGCACGCATGCATTTGGAAGACTTCACGGCAACAGCGGCGGGAGGAGGCACAGCCACCCACCATAAAACTAAGTCTGTGCAGCCACAGAGCCGAAATGGTCAATTCCATCTTCTCCGCGCAGCAACCCCTTGCGTGTGGGTATTCAACACAAGCTCGTGGTGGGAAAGCTTGGCTCTGCATCAGAACAGCTGTTATTTATTATTATTATTATTATTATTATTATTATTATTATTATTATTATCATTGTGGATAAGATTATATATAACGAAACTGAGGGCGGTGTGTGATCCCACCCTTGCGACACGTGTAATAGTCGACATCACTAATGTCTTCCGTATCCGGGTCGGACTCTTCTCGTTTAGCCTAACGGAGGAAGAAAACGGAGTTCGACGAGTCTTTGGAAGCCCGAACAAACTTATACATGTACAGCCGCATGGTACACTCTAAACCACTGCTTTGAAAATTGCACGACACTGCATCGGACGGTTAATATTAACACGCATAATGGTTTCTATACGGACGTAAGCGCAGCCTGATGCTCCCCTATAAAAGGCCGAACGGCTCCGTCGAGGGTTTCTCGTGCTCGCCGTCTGTTCTTCTTCTTACCCTCATTTCATCGATCTGAAGGCAGCGATCGAGGCCGCGCCTCAAGAAATCCATCGATCCTTCCTTTGTGCGAGAACATGTCGCGAGATCCGGCTAAAACGGTGTACATAGGTTCGATCTTTTCCGATCCCCCCCTGTTTTCTTTCTTGAATTCCTGGTTTCTGCTTTTGACGTTGTAGATCTGGCGATTAAGTGTGAAAGTTACCGATTCCACGTTATTTAATTTTCGGATCCCAATTAAGATTGCGCTTGTGATTTATGAGTTTTTTGCATGAATCTTTGATCTCTGTAGAGGCTGAAAGTTTTTATAGGTGATTCTGGTATTTTTTTGGCCAATCAGGTCATGGTAGATAGGATTTGAAGATGTATGGCTGAAGAGTCTTGTGTTATCGTCGTCGTCGTCGTCTTCTACTAGATCTGTTTGTCTATTTTGTTTAGATCTGTTTCAGGGTCTATTCTCGGTATAATGGTCTTTCTTGTATGCTTTTAGGGTTTCTTTTTTCTTGATGTGGCTCCATAGTGTTTAAGGTTTGGATTTTCAATCTTAGATTTCGCTGTGTGATCCATGAGCTCTTTGCATAAAATTTTAATCGCTGTGAAGGCTGTTAGGTATATTCTAGGCGATTCCGGTATTTATCGGCGAGTCGGGTCGTGGTATGTAGGATCTGAAGGTTTGTAGCTGCAGTCTTTGGTTGTCGTCATCTGGGGTGGAACTATCAGGAGGTGGTTGTTTATTTTGTTTCGATCTGTTTCAGGGTCTACGCTCCTTATTATGGTCTTTCTAGTATGCTATCAAGGTTTCTTTCTTCTTGATGTATTTCCATGTTATTCAAGTTTTAGATCCCCAAATATAGATTTCGCTCTGATCTTTGAGTTCTTTGAATGAAATCTTAATCGCTGTAGATGTTGTTAGTTTTTTTGGGTGATTTGTGTTTGTTTCCGAATCAGATCATGCTAGATAGCATCTTAGGTTTTTTTTAACTGCAGGGTATTTTGTTGTCATAGTTTAGATCCGTTTCAGGGTCTAAGCTCCGAATGATGGTCTTTATTGTAAGGTATTAGGGTTTTTATTTCTTGATGTGATTGTAGCCAATATGTAAATTAATATTCTAGTAACATATACTGATAACTTGTGTTGTAGGGAATCTCCTATACACGGTAGTGGAACGAAGCCCTATTTGTCATCCTTGCTGCTGATATTACTGATCTGTCAGTTATTTAGGGTCTGTTTGCATATTGATTTATCAATTTTTGCCTTTTTAAGTTGTCGACAATTACAAGGTTTGCCTTGTTAGAAGAAAATTTAGTTTGGTACAGCTTCCTTTAGTTTCTTTCCAAGTCATTCTAGGGGTTTGTCAATAATCCTTTTAGGGTATATAGGATTCAATGGATTCTACTGTTGTATTTCATTGTTTATTTGATGAGAATTATTCAAATTGATTGTTTGTTTTGTTCAGATCTGTTTCTGGTTCTGTAGTATGAGCTTCTTTATTTTTATATATTTTCCATGAGAATTTTACTATTTTTTTATTTGGTTGTAGTCTGTGCATAGATATCTATGCTTACAATTTCATGCCCTACTATGCAGTAGGGAAATGTTAGTTTCATTTGTATCATTTGACATATAAGACATTGTTTATACAGTTCCTTTTTTTTAGAGTGATATTTGGTAATTGCCAATTGATTTTCTTGAAAATCATGCTCTTAATTTGCAAGCTTAGTTATTTCAGTTAGTTTGTGTGGTATTCTACTGGCGAGAAATATTGGTTCGTACTTGTTCCTTCTGATGGTCGTCAAATTGCATTCGTGTTCATTTTCAGTTAGCAAATCACTGATTTCTATCCTGGTGTTTGAACTCTTTTGGTGTTTTCAGGCTTTTCTTGATGGTTCTTAAGCATTTTTGGGTTGACTATTTTTCTTCTTCGCACATGTAGATTATACCATTTTTAGTGGCCACGTAAGGTATTTTGATGAATATCATTATATTTTTTGTTGGTTAACTGTTATTATTTGATCCTTCTAAGTAAGCATACTTTATGAACAGTATAATGTTCCATCATTTTTGGCCCAACATCTTCT